GGTCTAATATTAGTGTCATGCATTTGATTTGAAGCTTATTTCATTATCGCGTTTTTGTGAACTGTTATTGCGAACATTCTTGTTTATTTCATAACAATTATTAATTGCCGATCAATTGAAGTGAATTTTATATAGGCCTAGAACTAAGCTCATCTAATTTCTGTTGTTTGTAAATTTTATCTATTCATCTCGAATTAAGGTTGTTCAATTGTCTTTATGGCTGATATGGGTGATCGAGGACAATTTATGGGTTTCAAAGGCTTATTTAATCGATTTTAGAGTCTACTAATATTTACAAAATACATATAATTTGTTTTTCTCCCCAACGAATTATGGTTTTTCTCCCCGACGAAGGGGGGGGGGGGGCGCAGTTATCCCCGAAGGGGTCCCTGGCGTCATCCCTGTTTCTTACTATTGAAACTGCATTATACAATGTTCGGAACTTTGTATATAACTTTACCATTATCCTAATTTGTAAGGCTTTTGTATTTATCGCATAGGCCTACATCTCAGTATTCTTATTCTCTAAATTTATCTTATACAGTAATAGAGTCTTGTAAGTTGCTGAATTTTTAACATTGTTTAAACTTGAAACTGAATTTTGTGTGCTTTTGTATCAGCAAATAAGTTAATAACATCAAAGTTAGCAATGTTGTCTGCTTCATCACGCTCAATACAAGTAGTGCAAAAGCAGATAGCCTCGCTTTTCCCATCGTGGCTCTGAGATATGGCAGGATGAGCTTTAGTCATGTAGTCATTACATAATAGGATAAAAAAAACAAGAGAAACGGTCGAAATGGACTGAAAAGAAATCACAATCTATAAATTTGCCAATAAAAACAACTATAGTCGGGTTCTTATTAAAATATTCGCCTGACGAAATACATCAATTTATCAATTTCGTCGTGTTTTTCTAAAAAGTGCTTATTTTTTTACTCTCATTCTCCCATTTTAGCGCCCCCTCAAACGTGGCGCCCGGGGCATGTGTGCTCTGAAGGAAAAAAAATTTTGATATGTTATAGATCTGATTTTTCCAAGACAGAAAAAAGTTGTTTGACGAAGAACTGGGGGGAAAATGTGTAAAATTTGGCGGTTACGCCCCTTTTTCCTTCCGTTTTTAAATATTAAAAAATCTGTATCTCATTCAAAACAACTTTTTTCTGTCTTAGAAAAATCAGTTCTACAACATCATTTTTTCCCCTCCGGAGCCTGACTTTAAACTCATTGAGGCCCTTAAGGGGCGGGCCTCTTGTCCACAGCTAATGTAATGGGAGAGCCACACCTAATATCATACGGACTTCAAAGATTTTAATTTGGTTAACTCCATGTAAAATTAATAAAGCAAATAAATAAATAAATATAAATAAAGTGTCATTGAATATGTTTTATAAGTCAATGCTTAAACATTCACCAAGATTTCTTGGTAAATTCCTTGTGATATAAATAGTTCGACCTGTTAGTCATCTATTTGTCTGTTTTTAGAATAGAAACAAATGTACAAAGTAAAGCGACAGTACCGGTGTTTTGGGAAATTTAGGGCTTATGTCTGTCCATAACACAAGCTGGTCTTTCAAGCGTCATTTCGAATACAGTAGTTCCTTTTCGGATGCTTTCGAGAAGCATTAACTTTCTCAATCACTGTCGGCATTTGACGTATTCTAGCACCCTTCATTGCGTAAGCTTTTTTATATAATTTCGTCTCGCAGCATAGGCATATATCATAAACATTTAACCAGTGGTGCTTGGAACACTGAGGTTTTGAGGAGTGTTTATAGTACAGTAGGTCTAATATTAGTGTCATGCATTTGATTTGAAGCTTATTTCATTATCGCGTTTTTGTGAACTGTTATTGCGAACATTCTTGTTTATTTCATAACAATTATTAATTGCCGATCAATTGCTGTCTCTTATACACATCTAGATGTGTATAAGAGACAGATAATGCACTGTCTAAATAACAATATTTAAACCCGAGTAGCTCTCGTATGTTCTTTCTTACCAGGGATGGGGGGGCCAGGATTTGCTCGCGGGGGTCCAATGTTCGGGGGCTGTCTCTTATACACATCTAGATGTGTATAAGAGTTTAAACTTGAAACTGAATTTTGTGTGCTTTTGTATCAGCAAATAAGTTAATAACATCAAAGTTAGCAATGTTGTCTGCTTCATCACGCTCAATACAAGTAGTGCAAAAGCAGATAGCCTCGCTTTTTCCATCGTGGCTCTGAGATATGGCAGGATGAGCTTTAGTCATGTAGTCATTACATAATAGGATAAAAAAACAAGAGAAACGGTCGAAATGGACTGAAAAGAAATCACAATCTATAAATTTGCCAATAAAAACAACTATAGTCGGGTTCTTATTAAAATATTCGCCTGACGAAATACATCAATTTATCAATTTCGTCGTGTTTTTCTAAAAAGTGCTTATTTTTTTACTCTCATTCTCCCATTTTAGCGCCCTCAAACGTGGCGCCCGGGGCATGTGTGCCCGCCCCCCTCCCCCTTGATCCCCCCTAGCTACGCCACTGGTTTTACGCAGAGTAAAGCCACAGTTCCGGTGTTTCGGGATATTTAGGGCTAATGTCTGTCCATAACACACGCTGATCTTTCAAGCGACATTTCGAATACATTAGTGTACTTAATGTGTTGGGCTTGAGTCATGCTCCTGGTCAATATATATTCTACATGTATTGTTACGAATTTGTAATAAATGAATAAACAAATATACTATGCTGTACAAAATGGTTCACTGACTACCACAGATACCGTAAATAAGCCCATGACTAGGACGTCATTCAATCATACAACCGTAGCAATAGGTTGCTAACCAGTAGCTAATAACTTACTTAAAAGTACAAATTAAGCAATTCAAGATATTGAATGTGTGTTTCTCATTTAATTTTAACGGTCAAATTGCTCCAAAATATGAGGAATGAAAAGTAATAAACAAATTGAACACTTGCTCTTTTCAACCAATCATAGGGCTTCTTTGGGATTTTGTTTTATTAGTTATTTACTTCTTCAATTCGTCATCATCAATTAAGCACATCTCGTGACATTTCCATTAAATTAATCGTCTCGTTTCTGACGACATTTAAATATTTAAATATATCAGTCTTTCATAAACCCTCTAAAAATAATTAAAAACATTGAATATGGTATTTTAAAATATTTCTTTCCAACGTACAGGAGATTGAAAAATGAATTTGTGTTAATTTCAGTCCATTTACTTCGAAAGTCCTTAAATGATATTGTTTGTTAATGTAAGGGTGTATTTATGCGTCCGTTAATTGGCCAGGACCTTTTTTTTTTTCTATCTAAACAAAGATTTGTAACATCAGGTAAAGCGGTCCATATATAATGAATGATTTCTTGTGTGTAGGATTTCTTGTGTTCAATGACACTGGAACCGACGCTTCAAATTTGTTACGATATAATTGATTGAGTGCTATCTTTAGTTTTTGAATCTTTGGTTGAATGTGAAAGTGAGATGCCTGAACTTTTTAATGTCTATTTCTCTGATTATTTATTACCTCCATGGTTAAACTGCAGGTGCCAACTTGAATGATAAAAAGTCACTGGCCTAACTCCGTATTTGCTTTATAAATAATTACAATTAGCAATTTCGTAATGCATCATACGGCATCGAAAGTAAAGGTAAAAAATAGGAGAATAGCCTTAAACTCCTAGCGTAATTGTGCTGAATTGCGTATGGGCGTGGTCCGTGACTACCAAGCGGCCGTAAAGATGCGCTTTATAAGTTATTAGTACATATTCACATCATTCCACAACGACAGGGGCTGAAATGAACCATCGGAATTGGGGTAACGCCCTACTCTTCGGAAAGGTGTGTGCAATGTGTTCTTTAAAGTGCACAAGATCCAGATGTGTACATTGGACATCCATTTTAAGTCATTATTATCCGAAAAGACTTGGACGAACCGTGGACGAGGATCGGCTCGAACCAGCACCGATGTCTAAAATGCATTCATGATGTACTCAAAAATATTTATACTGAGATCCCCCGACAATTCAGAAAAATCTAAACAAAATACAATTGAACAAAGTTAAAATTTAAACAAATCCGAAGCTTTTCAATGACTGCTTATTAAAGTCAGACTCTGAAGGAAAAAAAAATGTTGATATGTTGTAGATCTGACTTTAAACTCATTGAGGCCCTTAAGAGGCGGGCCTCTTGTCCACAGCTAATGTAATGGGAGAGCCACACCTAATATCATACGGACTTCAAAGATTTTAATTTGGTAACTCCATGTAAAATTAATAAAGCAAATAAATAAATAAATATAAATAAAGTGTCATTGAATATGTTTTATAAGTCAATGCTTAATCATTCACCAAGATTTCTTGGTAAATTCCTTGCGATATAAATAGTTCGACCTGTTAGTCATCTATTTGTCTGTTCTTAGAATAGAAAATGTGTTGCACAAAGTAAAGCCACAGTACCGGTGTTTTTGGAAATTTAGGGCTTATGTCTGTCCATAAGACATGCTGGTCTTTCAAGCGTCATTTCGAATACATTAGTTCCTTTTCGGATTCTTTCGAGAAGCATTAACTTTCTCAATCACTGTCGGCATTTGACGTATTCTAGCACCCTTCATTGCGTAAGTCCTTTTTTTTTTATATAATTTCGTCTCTCAGCATAGGCATATATCATAAACATTTAACCAGTGGTGCTTGGAACACTGAGGTTTTGTAGGAGTGTTTATAGTACAGTAGGTCTAATATTAGTGTCATGCATTTGATTTGAAGCTTATTTCATTATCGCGTTTTTGTGAACTGTTATTGCGAACATTCTTGTTTATTTCATAACAATTATTAATTGCCGATCAATTGAAGTGAATTTTATATAGGCCTAGAACTAGGCTCATCTAATTTCTGTTGTTTGTAAATTTTATCTATTCATCTCGAATTAAGGTTGTTCAATTGTCTTTATGGCTGATATGGGTGATCGAGGATGCTGGTGTGTAAATGGAGGCACTTGTTCCTCGTCCGGGCTTTGCATTTGTCCCACTGGATTTAAAGGAACCACTTGTCAATTTGACAGTAAGTATTGCTAAACTTTTGAATGCAAGTTCCAAAATCTGTTGCCGACAGCACAACAACTTGAAACTAACTCATCCATTTTGTATAATTATAGTGTTTTCTTATTTTGGTTTTATTTATTTATTTATTTTTGCATTTTGGAACAAAAATGATAATAAACATGGTGATTGGCTGATTGATTGATTAAGTGATTGATCTCGTTAGGTGGGCTAAGTAGCTCTGTTTTCCCACAAACCAAAACGAGAAAAGATCTTTAATTGTATTGATTCCAACCAGGTGAAAAAAATGCAATTCTACTGGAGTAGAACATTACAGTAGTAGAATGTGTTAAGAATGATGTTGCTTTCATTAGTTTTGTTTACCATCATTTATGGGGCGTTTATTCGAGGAAAAAATAAACGCCCCGGGGCGTTTATCCGAGGGAGGTGTTTATTCCAAATGAGCTCCTAGAGGGAGATTTTATTCAAGGGGACTTTATTTAAAAAGCGATAAGGTAATCCCCGCGCACAAGGTCATACGTCACGCGTGCACATACTGGCGGTAGGGGTTTGTTATGGCTTTGTGCATCATCACAGCAAATCACAAGATGTAGAGTTAAGGATTTTCAGATTCAGATATTTATTACTTCAAAATGTCAGTACATCGTGATAATTGGTTTCCACGGTTCAAATATACAAACAAGACTTATATCTCTACTATTGTACTGTACCAGTTAAACAACTGGGTTGAATGAAGTGTTTAGCCTAAGTCGCTTGTGTACAGAGAAAGCAACAGATATTTACATTTAATAGGGATGGAAAGTTTAATGCAGTTTTCAAGAAGTTCAAATACCATAGGCATATTCAAATTTAAGTCTAAGAATGCGGCCGGCCACCTAGAGGTACCATGTTGGGGCTGAGGTAATATCGACCTGCCATCTGTGAAAGTCCCTCTATTTTACTGTTCCTGGATCCGCCACTGAATATGAACAGACTACGTGGGGACACAATCTGATAATCTTCAATCAAGGACTTTTAAAGTCAGGCTCCGGAGGGAAAAAATGTTTTATATGTTGTAGAACTGATTTTTCTGAGACACAAAAAGGCATATTTTCTGGCCTATATACATGTCCCTTAACTTCCATGGCGAGTCATAAGGATGCCGTGTCGGGGTGTTTCTGGGCCATTTATTGCTTGTTATACCATAGAGAAAATAGTTCTATTTTCTCTATGGTTATGCTATGGTACTTTCTAATTAAAGAAGGCATGCATTATGTATTTCCAAAGAAATTTGTTCTACTATAATACTTTGTGTCATTCACTATGCAAGTATTTTTTTTTAAATTTACAGCTGATCCTTCCAATAGCGTAGTTTCCAGAACCTTTGAAATTGTCATCGTGATTGCCACATGTATTTTTTTCTGTATAATTACGGTCTTTTTTTGTCTGTTTAAATGGAACAAGTTCAAGCGACGACTGGAGAATGAAGGAATTTCATTGGATACACTCAGCATTCATCTGATAATGTGTTTTCTTCGTAAGTTGATCTCAGTTTTTCATCGTAGCAATCAACACCCGGGAATCGACAACACTAGCGTTCATAATACCAAACTGGTATTTCCCATGAATATTGGCATTAGGATATAATACATATGTAAAGCTGATGAAGGCCAGAGGACTGGCCGAAAATTTCTTTCGAAAATAAATGAAGTGTTCTACAGTCTACATGCCTTGTTGTCATAATTTTTTGTTTCAACGACTTATATATAATTTGAAGAACACACGTGGAT